TGGAAAAAGCTTAACACATGCAGTAACTAATCCAGAAGATTTGCTGAAGTAAAGACCATGGTACGTGCTTGTGCTGTTGACTATCAACAACGATAGCTGTAGTCTAAAGGCTCAAAAAAGTAACGCAACAAAACAAGTCAACTCACCTCCCGGAGGCTCAACTGAGGCATTAAAAATATACTGTATGGTTAAAACAAAACACTCAGTTTTCAACATATGATCACTTCCAATCTTCCCTGTTCCTGTATTTCCCCCCCCCCAAAAAAAAAAAAAAAAATACAACAACGAGATGGTGCTCAAAACCAGGCTATGCACTTAAAAAAAAAAATTCTTCTTAAGGGGAAAGAAGGCTGATTAATGCTGGTAGAGAAAAATCCCATGGGAAATTCCAGCCAGATCAGCTCAGGCAAGGGGGACTGAATAGAAAGGTCCCTCTAATAGAAGCTTAAGCTTTAAATTACAGACTAACTGTTGCTTGGTCTAACAAAAAGCTTACTTAAAAGGAGACTTAGTATAAAAGTTAAATTTTTAAAAACTATTTTTAAAGCCCCCAAATTGCTGCAATCTGTATTACTGAGCTGTGTTTATACTAGCAGCAGTCTACATGTACAAGAGGCAGATATATAGAGAAAAGAGCCAATTATTGTGCCAGTGGTAGCAGCCAGGGGGAAAAAAAAAAAAAAAAAAAAAAAAAAAAAAAAAAAAAAAAAAGAGAGAGAGAACCTTTTCAGGCACTCAAGTACAGAGAACCCCCCTCTCTCCGCCCTCCCCCCGCCCCCCCCTCGAAGTTACAAGCATAACCTGTGAGATCAAGAATGCAACTTTTTTCTTTTTTTCCCTCCTTCCTTTCCCCAGCTAAAATGCCTGCATTTTGTAAAGATTTTTCACTTACTGCACTGTATTACCTAAGGCCCAATACAAAAAAAAAAAAAAAAAAAAAAACACCTTTAAGAGCTTGGCTGCAAGTTTTCCTTTTGTCCAAGCAGTAACATCATCTGCTTCAAACTGTTTCTCCAGTCACACCTTCCTGCAATGTTTCTACAGCTGTTTTGATTACAAAGAGCAGCAATCCCCACCCAGCA